CACCAGGAGGCCCAGAAGCTCCCGGCAGGAGGGCGGGGCTTGCATGGGAGCCGCCCTTTGCCCCGCCCACCTGGCCTCCACCTGCCAGGCCCCGCCCTGGAGGCCTGTGGGGCTGGTTTCCAACTCAGCCTTCCAACCCTCCCTCCACCACCCTGATGTTCTCCCCAAAGGAGATTATTTTAGGCTGGATGGAGACAGCGACAGGAACGTTGTCCTCAGATATTACCGTGTTTCCCATTTCAGAAAAAACACAAAGCTCCATTCTAAGATCCATTTCTTTAACCCCCAAAGGTGAGTCTACTAAAAACATACTATTAAATAGAGTCGTGCAGATGGCGCTTGTCCAAGGTAAATGTTGTGCGGCTGGTTTGCCAGCGAGTGGCCTGGGACCCCGCTTTGCCGGGACCCGCTCGGACCCGCTCGGCCGGGGCACAGCTCTGCTGACCCCGGCAGCCTTCCTACACACCCTCTCCCCAGCCACTTCAGCTCGAAGACACGGTCTCCACACCCCACTTGACATTCAGAGCCTCCCTCTGCAGAGTTCCCTCTGCCCCACCGCTCTGTCTCCTCCTGGGGTGTGAAGGCGAGGTGCCGAGAGGCGCTGGGTGGGTGGGAGGCCTCGGGGTGGTGTCCTTCGTCCCGCCAAGGAGCTTACACAGAGCAGCACCGTGAGGGCAGGACTGGCGGGCAGCGCATTGCTGTGGCCCTAGCACCTAGCACCACACCTGGCACACGGCAGATGCTCTAGAAATACCCCCAGCATGAATGAGACCGACACACACACACACGGAGGGCCCAGTCTCCTGACTTTCCACAAGCTCTCGAAGCTCCCCGCACCTGCACGGAGCTCACAGGTCGTGGCCCTGTTTACGGGCAGCTGCTAACAGAACACACCTGTCCTCAGAGTCTCAGGCCCTCCCACAGGCGGCCCCCTGAGCTGTGCTGCCAGGCTGCGGGCCTGCACCATCTCCTCCGGGAGACCCAGCAGAAAGGGACTTGACGGGAAGATCCACTCACACCTTCCCCGAGTGAACAGAAACTTCCTGGGGGGCCTTTCCCAGACCCGTGCAGCTGCGCCCAGCAGAGAACACGAGGGTGGAGGGCCTTCCGGCTCCCAGGATCACAGGGCCGGCGGCCGTGGCCGCCCGAGCAGCAGCTGCGCTCAGCTGGCCACGGGCCTGGGCTGGGGGCACCGAGTGTCTCAGAACTGCATGGGAGCAGCGCACCCACAGCGGAGCCAAACAGAAATGCCTGTCACTTTAAAAAGCAGAAGCAAAGGTTCTGAATCCGGTGTCAGCTGGTTTGAAAAAGCATGTCAGGTAATGACAAACAGATCACTCTACACTGCTCTGACTTCCCTGGATTATGACTGATGGGGAACAAAGGAAAAGAAATCATGTGTAACTGAAATACACCAGGGTTCAGACCTCGGCCCCCTGTGCCTCGCTCGGCCTGCGCTGGACCCTGCCGCGCCGCCCTCTGCACCCTGAAGCCAGGGGGACTCTCGGAGGTGCAGAAAGGGGCGTGATGAGTTCATCGGGGGCAGCTGGCGTGAGCTGGGTGCTCTCATGCCCACTGGTGAACTCACCCCCACTCCTCTGCCTTCCCGGCTCTCAGATGCTCAGCCCCCCACGGCCAAACGCCGAGTGCCCCAGAACACAAAGCACCCTGCTCCCAGCTCCCTGCAGGCTGGCAGCTGCTTGCCCAGCACTGTTCCTTCCCTAATGAATTTGCATCTTCCTGTCCCAGGAGCTTTGGTGGCTGCAGCTCGCTCACGTGCCGCCCACAAGCGCAGCCTGCTCTGGTAGCCAGCTCTCAGACCTGGGAGACAGACAGACACGGATAGAGCAGCCAGACATCTGAGCTTCTCGGGGGTGGACATGGAGGGAGGAGCAGCTGGGCTGGGGCAGGACTGCGGTGGTCTCAGGGGACAAGCCACCTGGCCTGAGTCCTAGGGCACGGCGCAGGACTGAACCGGGCCGGCCTGCACCTGTCGCCAGGGAACACTGCAGGCAGCAGCGGGGAGCAGTCTGGGGGGTAGTCTACAGGTGCGGTGGGGACACCCCGACAGGGAGTGCTATGTGCAAGTGGGGAAGGGTGAGGCTGGCAGGGAAGGCCACTCGGGCCGTGTTAGAGTCTGAGTTTTTCCCTGAGCGACTCAGGAGCCCCAGGGTGTGACTGCAGAATGGCCAAGGGGATACGTGGTCAGAGAGAGGCTGGCGATGAGCCTGAGCAGACAGGCAGTGCGGGGGGTGGCACGTCCCGGGGCCGGGCTGCCGGGGGCCTGGGGGGGGGGGGGGCTGAAGCGCTGTCAGGGAGAGGTATCCAAGAGGAGTGGGCACTGAGCTTAAACACAGGGTGGACAACGCTGCGACTCTTGAGAGAAAATCCTGCAGGAAGTGGCCGATTTGAAAGATGAAAACAGATACTGGTAGAAATGTAAACTAGCGTTCATGGAGCACGTACTGTACGCTGGGCAGTGAGCCAAGTGCACGCACGCGATCTTACTCATGTGCAGTGTGTTTAGTTCATGCAGCACTCACGGCTGGTATCACCGTCCGCCCCTGCTCAGTCCCACCCCCACCGAGGGCCCAGCTGTCAAGCGAGGACACAGCACAGGCAGGCACTGGTCCAGGTCACTGCACAGCCTCTCTGCCCGCTGCCACCTCTGCGAGCACCCGGCTCGGGCCCAGCTGCTCTGGGCTGCACTGGAACACACCTGGCCCAGCGGCCCTCCCTGGCCATGGCTCACAGGCTGCTCAGATGCACTGTGCTGCCTGGAGGTGGTGTGCCCAGGAGAGAGCCAATGACACTAGTGACAAACAGAGCTGGACTTGGAACTCTGACTCGCAACCTGGGCAAGTCACTTGATGTTGGGAACCCCAGTTTGCTCATCTCAAAGTGGGGATAGTCACTCCAGCCTTCGGAGGTCACTGAGGGGAGTTGCGTGGGAGAAGGGGCATGAAGGTGTCGAACAGAGGCAACTCTCATTCTCAGTCGGTGCTCGGGTTTGCCGATTCGGCCCCTTCTGCCCTCTGGGGACACCCGCTGGACCGGACCCCTTGGCCAGAATTTCTCTGTTTGTCCACTGTCCAGCTGACCCAGTGCCACCCACCCCGAGGCCCCAGCAGGTGGGACCTGTTGGGGTCATGTAACATGAGGACATGGCTGTTGGAACAGTCAACGTTTACGCACTGGACGGCGGCTGTCTGGTTTCAGCTTCGACAAGTCACGTGTGCACAACCTGGCCACCGGCTGGCCCCCTCCCGCTCTCTAGGGTGCACCACAGCTGACAGGAGAGGGGGAGCTCGTGGATGTGCGCACAGGGGCCAGCGGGAGGACTGCACTCTGCACCGCGAGCTGGAGCTGGACGAACACCATCCCAGGGAGGGCGTGCGGCCGGGCAGGACAGACCCGGACAGGGGATTCCGGCAGGTCGCTCAGGGCCGGAGAGTGAGGAGGGACAAACCCGCAAGAGCCGCGGGACCGCGGTGCTCTTCCCACAGCGCCGTGTGGGGCACGAGGGCGCTCGGGGCCGGGAGCCGGGGTGTGCACCGAGCGGGTGGAGAGAGAGGCGGAAGCTGGTGCAGGGCTGAGAGGGCACCTGAATGGACTTCCTAGAGGAGGCACGACCTGAGCCAGGCTTAGGAAGTGAGGGGTTCAGCTTCGCCCCAGCCAGTAAGGTGGGACCGCAGTGGCCGGTGTGGACAGGAAGTCCAGGGCAGTCCCGGGGGATAGAGGGGCTGAGGGGACAGAGGCTCACCCTGAGTCTCGCCCCTCTGCCTGGCCCCCAGGACTGCCGGTGGCCCAGCGGGTAGCAGGACTTGCCTGTGGGGCAGGTCTCTGCAGGCCTCTGTGGGCGCCTGTCGCCAGGGAGTGAGCAGCGTTCCGGGAGGGCCGAGGGGAGCAGGCCCTGCCAGCCTCTGGCTGTGGTTTCCCTCCACCCGGGCTGGGCTGTGCTCCTGAACCAGCAGGTGGCGCTGCACTGACTGGGGAGCGGGAGGGATGCTTGGACTCCCCACCCCAATGGGGCTCCCTGCTGACCCTAGGGGCTCACAGCCAGGGGACCGAAGGTGCTCCTGGGAAAGCAGCTGCGTGGATGGCATTTGGTAGGAAGGAAGGACTTGGCATCAAATAGGAACACCCGGCCTGCCAATCTGCCCTGCCCGGGCCCCAGGCTCAGTGCTGCACCACTGTCCCCAGGGCTCAGGCCCGAGGCCCTGGCTCTGCCTTCATGCCCCCTTTCTCCCCACCTACCCATCCCATCGAGCAACGTCCTCTCGCTCCATCTTCAATATCGATTCGGGACACGACCATTTCCCCACTGCTACTACCCGGACAGCTGCTTCCACGTTGCTCCTACATCTATTCTCAGGTCGGCAGTCAGAATGAGATCCCTTTAAAACACGTCGGATCTCGGATCTCAGTACTCTGTCCAAAACTCCAGGGCCCGCCGCACTCTCGGGAAAGCCCAAGTCTTAGCAAGCCCTGCCCAGCCCACAGAAGCAGAAAGGGTATGGGAGGCATCTGATCAATGTTTCTCTCTCACATCAGTATCTTTCTCTTTCCTTCTCTCTCTCTTTCCCTTTCTCTCTCTCTCAAAACCAATGAATAACGTATCCTCCGGTGAGGATTAAAAGAAACAAGTGCACCCTACTGCACATGGTGCTCCCTCCCCGCTCCGGCTAGGTCTGCCTGTCCCCGCTCCCGCTCCGTCCCCCTGTCCCCGCTCCCAGTCCGTCCCCCTGTCCCCGTGTGCTGTCAGGGTCACGAAGGCAGAGATGTGTGTTTTGTTCCCTCCTAAACACTCACTGGGTATTTGTGTGTGTGGTCTCAGACTTGCCTCTGTGGACAGCAGTCCTGGCAGGGATTGGGGTAACGCCAGACCCCTCCGAACGGCTCATCACCCCTAAAGGAGCGGTAAGCACCCTCCTCAGCCCAGGGGCACCGTCAGCCCCACCCCTGTCCTGCTCCCACCTCCCACCTGGCCCAGCACTCACCGTCCACTGGATTGAGGTAGTCGTGGAGATGGGGTGTGCCGGTGGCGCCCCCAGTCTGCACGAGCAGGTCCCCATAGGGCGTGGGGTGGCCCGCCATGAGGGTCATCTGGTGGTAATAGTCTGAGGGGTTGGTCCCTGCCGGGGGGAGACCAAACAGTCCCCTTTCTTTAAGGTGCTCATGGACCACTGTGGGAGAAAGGAAGAAGGAAAAAAAAGCCATCAGAATCTGGCAAAAAGAAAAAAAAGAGAAATACAAACTGGGTTGAGGAGTCCCCCTCAGTGCCCTCTAGTCCATGCTCTGCCCCTTGGGCCCCTGTGCCCCCTCCCCCGGCCCCTGGTCCGCACTGAGCAGACAGGACGGGGTGGGTGTGTTTCTGCTGGTTGGGAGACCAGACTCTCCGATCCACGTTCGTCCATTTCGCCAAAGCTGTAAACCCCACCGTCTCCTTCCCTCCACACCCTGCAGAAGCCCACAGCTCCAGGCCCACGGGGCCCGTGGTCCAGTCGAGGCTTCAGAGGAAAAAGCTGCAAATGGAGGAGCCACGGCAGCAGACAGGTGGGCCCTGGCTGTCCACTGACCTTCCCAGGTGACATCACAGCCCAAGCTGGCGGCCTGGCCAGACAAAGCCCCTCCCTGCCCAGTCCAGCCGCTCCCTGGGCCGCAGCTGGAGCCCGGCTGTCTGGGTCCAGCCCTCGCTCGTCCACCTGGGCCTGAGCAGAAGCAGGGCTGATGCACCCCAGCTCTCAAGGGGCCTGGCCCTCAGGGCTATGGTGTCAGGGGAAGGACGGGGAGCTCGGGAACCACGCACACCCAGGGTGAGCCCTAGCTTCTACCTAGTATGCAAAACCAGGAGGGGGCACCTCTCTCAGCCTCCCATCTGTAAAATGGGGTAATAACACCACCACTCACATCATTCTTACACATGGCTGTCGCAGCCAGCGTGGTGCGGCGCGCTCGCCAGGTCTGCGCGGGCACAGCGCTGAGGGGCCAGCCACCCCCTAATTTCACTGTCACCACACTGCGAGCCACGGGCCCTCGTCACGCTCCCCGTGGCAGATGAGGCTTCTGCACTCAGAGCCACAGATCTTGCCTCAGGTCACACAGCAGGGGGTTTGAACCCAGAGCTCAAGCTCCTAACCACTGCACACCACGGCCTCGCTGCTGTCCGTCCTGCAGACACCACGGAGATCTCAGGTGGCCGGGAAGAGAAGCAGCGGTCAGTAGAAGAGGCTCTCCTCCTCCTCCTCCCTCTGTCTCCTGTGCATCCCCTAGAGAGAGCCCTGGCCTCCAGTCAGCCTGATGCTTCAAGGCCTCGGCCTGCCTCAGCCGTGACAGAAACACCCTCCTCTCCCCTCCCTGCCGGCCACCTCCTCCCTGAAGTCTTCCCTGCGTGCCCATTCATCCTCAGGGCACTTGCAATCCGGCAGATGCTGCCTTGGTCGCTGGCAAACTTCCCAGGCCTCTTGTGAGCCGGCGCACTGGGGCTGGACAGCTGATGGTGCTGCCCCGGCCCTGACATGGGAGCTGGGCCAGGGCCAGCGAGCCTCAGGGCACCTGGTCCACCCCGAGGGACACGATCATGCAGATTACCACATCCTCTCTGGTGCTGAACCCATCCCTGCTGTCCTGCGGGTTTGGGGCTGGGATGAGCGGGTATGGTAGGAGCCACACCAAGGGGTACATCAAAATCAGGCATAACATCAGTGCTCGGTCAACTCAAAGTCTGCCTCAAGGGCAGCCCTGTCTAGCCACTTAGCTCTCCTTGGGCCATACGGCTGTCGGCTGCGACTAGTGTCCTTGGTCCATGAGACCCCTGGAGAACGCTCTGCTCCTCACCCCTCCTACAGATCCCGCAGGGCCACTGTGGCCCAGGCCCGGGACTGCCAGGCTCCGCCTCCCCCCTGGTCACCCTCCTCCTGAACAATGTGTGGCAGCTCCTAGGTTGTGACGGGCGAGCACAGCCTTGACGCTAACTGCTGTCAGCACGGGACTGCACGCCCTCTGGGCTCTGGAGGCCGCCGCCCACAGCGCGGGGTCAGCAGGGCGCCCCCTCCGGAGGCTTCTGGGGGCTGCTGGCTTCCGTGGCTCGTGGTTACTCCACTCCCATCTCTGTGTTGTCTTCTAGGGAACTTGTCCTTGGATGGAAGGCCCGAGTGGACAGTCCAGGGTGACCTCCTCATCTCAAAATTCCTGACGTAACCACATCCACCAAGGCCCTTTCCCCAAACCAGGCATGCTCTCAGATTCAGGGTGAAACATGGACGTACCCTCTTGGGGTGCCTCAGCCTACCACACCACGTGTGGACTCCTAGGCCAGGGCAGCATTTAGTGGAGCTGCGTCCTTGCACTCCGGGTCACCAGGAAGGCGTGGAGAAGCACAGGCCACTTTCCAGGAGACAACAGTGTGAGCGGAGGCAGCATAACCCTTGAGAACATCTCGGCTAGGTCACGGTCACTAGGGGACCCACGCAGAGTTCGGGCTGGGTTCTAGCCTGAGAGGCCATTTCAGAACGGTGCCACACTCTGGCTGTCCGTTCTCGGTCCCGCGGCTGCAACCATTTGCCTGGTCTGGTTTCTGTTTGGGGAAGACCAGGCAAAGTGCCAAGCTCAAGGCCAAGGGGATGAGCCTGACGCGTCAGGGAGCCTTTCTGGACATTTGGAGACTGAAATCCTTTTCTTTGCAAAACTCCAGCCTCAGCCTTCTTAGACCTGGAGCTCGGCTCCAGCTCAGGGTCACACCCAGGAGCTTGGAGAGGACACACTCCTCTCGGTGAGGTGCAGGTGGTGGTGACGAGCGTTCCGCGGGGACCCCGTTTCCGGGAGCCTCTGCCCACCGGCTCACAAGTGCACGTAGCAAACGTCCGCTAGCCTGGCACCGACTCAGGGCAGAGAGGGAAGGTTTCAGTGGGCAGATTGTGAGAAGATTCACCTGGCTGCTTATTTCTTTTAACTTTAAAAAAAATTTTTTAACTACAGGTGACATACAACATCATATTAATTTCAGGTGTACAACACATTCGTGTAATTTAGGAGACGACCACCCCGATAAGTCTAGCACCCCCGCGACACCACACACAGCCGTTACTCACCGTCGGCAGGGCTGAGACCCCTGGCTGCAGAGATCGTGGGGAGCGTGGGGCTGCTGTGCACGGCACGGAGGTAATGCTCCATGTGGGGGCTCACGTACGGGTGGGGGGCGTTGAAGGGGGTCTCCCCAGGGCCGGCGGGGTGTGGGGAGAGCCGGATCAACGAGATGTCGGAGATGACAGGGCTGCCACTCAGGGCGGGGGGCCTGCGGAGACAAGAGCAGCTGTCTAAGAGGAGGGCCTGCCGAGGGGACGTGCAGGGCCCCCGCCGAGCGCAGAGCCAGCTGTCCCCGACCACCCTCACGCGGAGTCCCTGCCGGTGAATGCAGCTGCACGGTGCCCGCGTGCGGGGATGGAGTCCTCCGTGCACAGGACTGATGGCGGGCCGCAGGCTGTCACCACTGCTGCCCCGTGCCTGCTCACGGTGCACACGCCGCGGTCACAGACCAACCTTTGCTGAATGAACGAGTGCGTGCGCTCGCAGATGTATGGAACACAGGGCATGAGAATGTGAACTCCAGGAGTGAGGTGCAAAGAGCTCGTATTCCCAACAGAAATGAGGAAAGGGGGTGCCCGGACGGAGAGAAGGTTTGACTCGGTCGGATCGGGTGTGGAGCGCTGGGCCGCAGGAGCGCCGTGAGGGAAAAGGCCGATGGCCGAAGTGCGCTGGAACCAGGCTGTCCCTGTCGGGAAGGCCACTTCGTCTCCGTACACGGAGCTCCTTCCAACGCTAGCAGCCTCCTTCTCGGGTGCCCACCCATGGTCCGGCCTGAGCCCGCCTGGGTCCCTCTTGGTCTCTGTGTGCCCTGGCCGGCCCTGGAGGAGGTACCAGCTGTGCTCAACACGAGGACGAGGCTTCACACACCCCTGCTCCCGGGGACCCCACAGCTGCCAGTTAGCTGTGGGTGCTGAGCGCTCAGCTGCTCCAAAACACGCCTATTAAGAAAAAGCACAACCAAGTCACTGGGGACGAAGTTTTCCAAAACTTAATTTTCAAGTGTTTTCAGAAAACAAGGTCTCTCTATGACTTGGTGGAATGCAAAGAAAAGAATGTGCTAGAATCAGACAAACCTGGATTAGAACCTCAGCCTTCAACAGCTCAAACTGAGCACTTCATTGAACCTCCCCAGCCTCAGCCTCCTCATCTGTGAAATGGGATAACGACAGCACCCATTCCACAAGGTTGCCAGGAGGATGACAGTCCCCCAGACGGTGACGCAGCTGCCAGCCCGCTGGTGCAGTGTCGGCACCACGCGTGGAGGGGAGGCCCCAGAAGTGCCCGGGGCCTCAGAGCCTTCACCTTGGGTTGAGGTTGGAGGCAAAGAGCTGGTATTGTTAGAACTGGTTGCTGCAGAGGGGCAGCATGTCTGCGGCGGGAGCAAAGCGGAGCTCACGGACAGTGTTCAATAGTGCATGGAAACTGGGTTACAACACGAAGCCAACCAGGACTCAAACAGGTGTTCTGTGAAGAACATCACCTGTGCGCAGGGAGGAAGCCTCGGTGTGACCCCTGGGACAGACCTGGGGTTGAGAGGTAAAAGTTCTGGAAAGCTGAGTGTCCAGCTGGACACTAAGAGGACCTACAGGATGCTGGTCCCAAGTAGCCTGCCCAGGTCTCCCTGGCACTGGGGTTGCCCTGTGGAGCCCACTGACCACGAGGCCCATGCGATAAGCCGTTGGTTGCGGGGGATTTAAAGCAATGTGTTTAGCCACATGGCAGCCTGGGTGTCTGTCTAAGCTGACCCCCATGCACTGGCCAGGTGAGCCTCTCCCAGCAGGAGGCTGGACTGTGGTGTCGCCTCGGTAGCGTGCACACCACAGTGGGGCCACCCTGGTGGGATTGGAACCCAGTGCAGCCCCAGAAGGTGGGTTTGAAGGTGGCAGGTGGGGCCCGAGTCTCCACTTGGAGCACTGGGACTTTTATTTCCACACTGCCACCCTTTCCGCCACATGCCGTCACCACGGAGACAGGGAGCTTGTTCCTTCAAGGGCACCTCCTGCGGTCTCAGGCCCGGGAGCTGTTTGCAGGGGATGACCTCGAAGCAGCAGTCCCTGACGGAAGCACAGCTGCACGGCCCTCGGGAGACGTAAACCCTCCAGCGCCACCGGGACGACCGGGGTCCAGAGAGGGAAGTCACCCCTCCAAGTGCTGCAGTCAGAGATGCAAGCCAGGATTCAGCCCAAGTCGGCCTCATCCCAGGGGCCACCCGCCCCACCAGAGAAAACACCCAGGTCTCCCTGTTCCCTGGTGCGACAGGGCAGGCAGCTCGGAGAGGCCACGCCATGGCCCAGGACAGATTAGACGGGACGGGTGAGCCAGGTCAGCTCACACAGCTGACGGGAGGTGCAGGGGACGGGCCTGCTGGTCTGGGAGAGCTGGGGTCCGGGCTGGCGGAGCCCCGAGGAGGCAGCACTCCAGGCCCCTCTGCAGGAGCACAGCCGGACTGGCCGCGGCGGGGCGGGAGCCCGCACCTGGGCCGTGCCCGCTGCTTCCACACACTGGTTTCCTCGCTAAGCCCGGCCCTTCCCACTTAGCGGGGTGTCCACGGCCAGGACACTGCCCCTCTCCAGCATCTCACCAAGGTGGCACAAAAGGACCAGTGGTGGGCACTTGTAGGAGGTTAACACTGACTCTCTCCTTTGCTTCTCAGCAACAAGTCAACATGAGGTGTGGAGCATCGGCTGACCTGGGTGTTCAGTACCCAAGACAGCAGGCCCATCACCAGCACAGCCACGATGCCTGTCCAGACACCTCCTCCAGGAGGCCTCCCAAGACGGCCCCTCCGCACAGCATACTAGCTGTGCCCTGCCCTGGCATCTCCTCAAGAGAGGCTGACTGGGCGCCAGCATCACGGGCCACATGCATACATTTTCTTTTAATCCAAATGAAAAATTCATAAAGTAGGTGCTTTACGTCCATTTTACAGATGGGAACACAGCCAGCAAGGCTCGGTCCATTGCCTAGTCACTCAGACGGCAGGGAGTGGACCCACAACCTGTCCAGGTGGGTCTGGGCCTGCGCCTGTCCCCTCAGTGGAGGGATGGGGGCTCCTGAAGAGTGGGGTTCTTTGTGTGCGGGACTCGGGGAGCACGACGGGGGGGCGCACCTGAGAGTGGGACAGCCTTCCCCACAGCTTCAGCCCCCTTTCTGTCTTCGTCCCCATTCCACCCCACCCCCGCACAACCCAACCAGCCCTCGGGGGGACTAGGACCTCCCCTCACACTGTTGTGAATGACTGATGAGGATCCAGGGGCACACATGTTCCGAGAGATGTCATTTTGACAGACCAAATTTCGAATGGCTGAACTCCAAGCATCATCAATGCAGTTGAGGGCTCAGGGGGCTCCTCAGCAGCCCTGAAATCACATCCAAATCACCAGCCTACAAGGCAGGTTCTTCAGAGACCGAGCTTCTTTTCCTCAGACACTCACTAAGGGTCCCACCCCAGGACCTCACGAAGCTGGGCGCTGCAGTCCTGTGACCCGAGGACGTGCCGTGGAGCTCCCCAGGAAAGAGCTGCTGGAGAAGCCCAAGCCCCTGCTTCCGGCCAAGCCCCAGCTGGGGTCTCCTTCTATTTCCACACCTTCCGGGGGGCCAATCCTGGTCTCGCCGTGGCCTGCCCAGGCCTTGAATTCTGGCAACTGAGCAGAGGCTGAGGAGGATGGGAGAAGGGGCCAGCTTGTGAGCTCACCGCGAAGGGTGGTCAGTCTCCTGTGCTGTGGACACGCAGGCACGCACATGCTCATACGTGCAGGCCACAGAGTCTGCCTGTCCGCCGCTGTGCAGCTGGGACGCTCTTACACAACCTCTTCCCTCAGCCCAGCTCGGGACTCATCGGAGCCCGATTCTACCCGTTGTTTCTTCGTGTATTTGTTCATAAGCCCAACAAACATGTGCTGCACATCAAGTAGCAGCGGGAAGTCTGATGGGCCTCCGGCAGAGTGACAAGCTCCCTATGTGCCCCTGACTATGAGGAAAGGTTTCTTAGAGGTGACATTTGGGCTGGGTTCTGAAGGATGAATAGGAGTTTATGACGAAGTGTACAAAAAAGGATGGAGTGTAAAGATGTGGGTGTGTGAAAGTTATGCCCAGGGACTGGAGCACAGCCCACAAAGCACTTTGGGCTGGATCTGTATTGGATCCCCGTCCCTTCTTCTGCTGGGGAAGGGGGTGGGATGGCATGTGACCCGAGACCATCCTTACCCCCAGGCACCGTGACTGTTTCGGAGATGTGCCTGTGTGCCTGCAGCTTCGGGGACCCTTTGGGAAGCAGCAGCTTCGGGGGACCCTTTGGGAAGGGAATGCTCTCTGTCCTCAGGGCTTGTCAGCAGATAGGATGTGAGTGCGGAGCTGCTAGGGGCCTGGAGGGGAGAGGCCCAGACAAGAGGGTACACAGATCATCGGAGCTCAGGGATGCGGAACCCGTTTCCTGAACCCCTGGGTATGGATCCAGCTTCACCAGAAGCTAGCTAATACCGTTGGCCTTTCCAGTGTCTGAGCCAACAGATTCGTTTTTTAAAACCAGTTTAAGCCGAGTTTTTCTGTCTTAGGCAACGGCAAGGCCTGTCGAGACAAGCCTTATGACACATCCTCCCGTCCCAGAGTGATCCTGGGTTCAGCATCCTACGAGGCAGACTCGCGCCAGAGTGCGTCCGCCTGTCCACCCTGCCACCTGCAGGTTCTCCCTCCCACAGCTGCAGAGGCTGGTGAGGGCCGCTGTGTGGGCCCGTCCGTGTGGGGACAGGAGGCACCAGCAGGAGGCTCTGGGAGCCTGTGTGTATGTGTGTGTGTGCACGTGTGTGTGTGTGTGTGTGTGCGCACGTGCGCGCATAGGTGCCGGCCAGCCAGGGCCTGCAGGGCCAGCCTTGCCTGGCTCGTTCTGTCGCAGCAGACGACTCCGGCGCTTCCTCCCAACATGGCACCTGCTGGCCAGGACTGGCCTCCATCCGAAGGCTCCTTCACAAGGTCTTTCCTCTTCCCTCTTTCCCTTCCTTCCAATTCGGAGGGGTTCTGCAAAGCCCCTGGACAAGATTTCCTGGCCAGGTCCAAAGGCCAAGGTGACGGCCGGGGAAGAAAGAAGGCAAAGATGAAAGGAGACTGGACAGAGCAAGTGGGCACCTCGCTGGATGGCTGCTGTGCCCGCTGAGGTGGCCGCTGCGGCTGCTGAGCTGCGGCCATGCACAGGACACCGCCGCATGCCACACC